GGTGGTAGAAATTGTAGCTCCTCTAAGCTGTCTCATTTTGTGCTATTTTTATCCATATATTTCCATAAATCCTCCATAGTGGATTTACCCAATGTACTTGAGTTTTTCCTCTGTATATTTTAATATTTCTGTGTATCATTTATAGGTTCTATTTGAAACTCTTCATTTTGCTATATGATTCTTCCAGAGGTAAAAATTTTGATGTTGTCTTTTACACCATGTCTAACATTCAAGTCATTTATGCTATAGCTTACTTTAGTAACTCATCATGTTTCTTCCCATTGCTCTTTGGGTCATCTGAAATGGTGATTATTTTGAGGTCATGGTGTTGATGTTCCATGACTTGTAGCCATATGCCATCAACAGAAAGACATTGGTGTTATAAAGCTGCTTGTTATTCTAATGTGAATAGCCCTGAGTAAACCTTTCAACCTTTATGCATCTTAAGCAATCTGAATTACAAAATCTTTCCTTTTTTATTGGACTCTGTTTTCTTTTATATAATCTGTGATATCTGAATATTCTAAATGAAAATTGTAGTTGAGATAGGCTTCACTAATGCCAATTAGTAGGAGGATTACTTCATGCTTATTTCATGTTAATGCATTCAAAAATCATGCTAGAGTTTTATATGCAATATTGTATTTTAGTTTTTTTGCTTGATCATACTTCATCACAGTAGCCACATTCTTTTTTACCACCCAGAATATGCCTGCCAAAGCCATCTCATGGTGGCATATTTTGCATTTGGATAATTTATACCTTGAATTAACTTGTAACTAATCCCTTTTCCCCCGCATCTCTCTTATCTATTTCTAGGAATTTAGAAGGAAAAAGTTAAAAGAGGAGATGAGAGAAAAAGTGCTCATCAAAGAAGTCTAAGAGGACATGAACAAGATGTAGTGGGAAGAATTATGTATTAGAGAGAAAAAGGGGACGTGAGCTTTACATCCCATTTCACCAGACTTAGGGCTTAATTACTCTCAGATATAAAATAGCTATAATAGTGCTTTATTTGCCTGAAAGGTGAGTGAGTGGATGTGTTAGTCTGTATAATCTTTCGATGTTTCTAGCCCTAAGATTTAAGATTCTAAGGATTAGATAAACACATACCAGTCCCTTTCTCATTAGCTCAAGAACTGATATATTTTGACATACCCATTGGGTAGATTAATGTATTCTAAGCCACTTCTAGTATTTTTTGGCCATGTTGTTCAAATGCCAAATGCCTATCTTATGCCTAAATGACTATCTTATAGGGAACTCACATAGGGCAAGCATTCACATGATGGTCAGAAGTGATACAAGGACACTGTCAGGGTCTCTCTTAAGAACTTTGGAATTGATTATGTAACATTGGAGACACTGGCACAGTACCTCCCAGTATGGTGTGCCCTCATCAGAGAAGGCACTGTGCTCTATGAGCAAAGCAGAATTGAAGTAGCTCAAAAGAAATGCAAGATGCACAAATTTAGAGAATCCACCCCAAATGTTCACATGGACTATTTTGTGCCTGATTTGTGGTAGAGTGTTCTGAGTTTGTATTGGTCTGATCAGCCACAGTTGGACAAACTGTTAACTTGACTCTAACATAGTGATGTCATTTTGGTCCTCTTCGAGAACGAAGGACAACAACCAGTTTTTTTTGAAGCAGACTGAGTATAGGATCCTAATTAGATAAGAAATCATTATAGTATTATACAATTTATTCTATTTATCTGTGTACATGTCTTTTCCTTCACTCAAGCCCTATTGTGGTGTGTCACTGTGATGTGGAGGTGACTGTGGTTACTCAAAGCTATGCTACAAAAACCTAAATTTCTGGCAGGTCCTAGTAAGCAAGAAATGCTTTGTAGGCCATTGACTTATAGATCTCCAAGGACTAGCTTTGGTAAGTTCAGAAAGGCTTGTCAACAAAGGATTTGCCATTAGATTTTCAATAAATATGCAAGTATAATTTATTATTATTATTAATTAGTTGCAGTGAAAGTGCTAACTTGTATTATCACTATCACTAGATAGAGTTTCCTCACCCAAGAGTTCCCTTTTAAAATGAAATCACAGATCCAGTCCTATTCTCTATATCACCTATTTCCCTCTAATAAAGTTGTAAGGTTGTTGTGAGGATAAAATGGGATAGTTGTAAAACACTTTGCAAACCTTAAAGCACTATATAAATGGTAGTGGTTCTTATTCTTCTGATTTGAGACCACAGCTCATTTAACTTTCTACATAGGCTCAGCTCCTTGTGATCTGCATATGTGGAAGGAGGGCCCACACCACCAAAATCACTAATCCTTAGTTTATGCTTCTTGGGGAGAAGGAACCTTGCTTTATCTTTCTTGGTATCTCTCCCAGAACTTAGGACAGTTATATATACATAGCATCCACCTAATAAATGTTGGTATGTGTCAGAGAGGCAGGGAAAGGAACTGTGATTTTACTGTTATAAGGAAATACCAGTTGAACAAACTCTCTCTAATAAAGCAGTTGGTGCCAACTCTGCAACATATGGCTTTAGAGACTTGCCTGAAGCACTGAGAGGTTAAGTGACCTGCTCAAGGTCATAATTAATAATGTTTCAGCAGCAGGGCCTGCATCCATGTCTTCTTGGCTCCAAGGATGGTCCTCTATCCATTATACCAGACCATTTCTTTCTATGGGGAATAAATGAACAAAAGTCATCTGGTGTTGTATGTATATTTTACAGGTTGGTTAAATGTGTCAGACATCTAGATCTAAAAAGAACCTTAGAGATCATTAAAACCTAACTCACTCATTTTTACAGCTGAAGAGGGGAAGGCAACTAGCGTTTATTAAACACCTACTATGTGCCAGGCACCATGCTAAGCACTTTACAAATATCTCATTTTATCTTCACAACAATGGTAGGTTATTATTATACCCATTTTACAGATGAGAAAACTGAGGCAGACTGAGGGTTAAGTGGTTTTCTCAGGGTCACACAGTGAATAACTGTCTGAGGCAGGATTTTCTTTCTGACTCCAATTTGAGCACTCTGTTCATTGTGCTGCCTAGGTGCCTGAAATGAGTAGATCCCAGATGAATAGTGTGTCTACTCAATAATAGCAGCTCATGTTTACAGAGCCTCTTAAGCCTTGCAAAAACATGTTGGTCAGAACAAGCATGTTTCAGTGCCAGAGGGGAAAACAAACCTGAGAGAGATGACTAACTTGGATAAGGTCACTCCAGTTGTATGTATTCCAAGTGACTAGACTCCAACACCAGTGCTCTTACCATTATACCACACTGCATTCTAGGGGTGTTGTTTGGCTGGTCTAGAAATAAACTTTTACAAATAAATTAATATCATAATCAGATGAGATCACAGATCTAGAGGTGAAAGGGAACTTAGAGTTCATCAAGTCCTACCCCTTCATTTTACAGATGAGGAAACTGAGACCTAGGTGTCAGTGAATGAAATAGCTTGCCCAAATGTCACATAATAGGTAAGCAGTCAAGCTAAGATTTCAATTCAGGTCTTTTGGGTCCAAATCTAGCATTCTTTTCAGGGTACCATAAAATAAAATAGAATAAAATATGCAATGTGTTATACAAATCTTAAATACCATGTAATTCAGATCTTATTAATAATCATCATGATGATAAAGTAAATAACAGCATAGTGTCGTTTCCCACTTTCAAATATTTTGTGATCAAAGATCAATCTAATCAAACAATAAGCATTCATTAAGTAAGTGCCTGCTATATGTCAAACATTTTCTTCTATTTGGTAGACTATGAGCAAGTGGACAAAATAATTGCTTTTGTAATTGAATATAATTTGGGGGTTGTAGGCTAATCCCTGGACTCATGGAAATAATTTTGGGGACCACTCCAGGAGCAGATAGTACAGGGATGATATTTGCTTCATCCTTTTTCTCCATGGTTTTGGTTTCTTCTGGTTGGCCTCTATATTATGAGATATTTTCATTCCACTCATTTTGAAGTTATGAGTATGCAGACATCTATTAATAATGTTGTTCTTAAATTTTCAAAGCCCTCAAAGCACATCACTTACAGCAACCAAGTTGCTGTTGGCAAGACAAAAACAGAAATACTATATTTACTTTCCCTCAAGTAATTTGCATTCTATAAGGAAAGACATGTACACATATACAACATATATGTGTACATATATACATACAAATATCTACAAAATAAACACAATTTAGAGGGGAGGCACTAGCAGCTGGGAGATAAGAAAACGACTCATAGAGAAGGAAGACAGCATTTGAGTTAAGTTTTGAAGAAAAGTTAAGATTTGAAAAGGAAAAAGTAAGGAGGGAGTGCATTCCTGGCATGAAGGGAATAGGTTATGCAAAGGCTCAGGAGGCAGACTGTCCAATGGGAAAAACAGCAAAAGGGTCAGTTTGCCTGGATTGTACATTACTTAAAGGATAGTAATGTGTAATAGGACTGCAAGGATAGATTACAGCCAGATTGTGAAGTGCTTTTAATGACAGAGAAGTTTATATTTTATTTTAGAAGTAGTAATAGGGAGCCACTGGAGTTTATTGATCAGACGTGTCATATTGTCATAGAACTGTGCTTGAGGAAAATCCGTCTGCAATGTGAATGGATTGGAGTGAGGAGAGATTTGAGGCAAGCATAAATTGGCTATTAAGAGGTTATTGCAGTCGTCCAGGTGAGAGGTGGTAAAAGCCTGTACTAGAGTGGGGACCAGGACAGTGGTAATTCTCAGTAACCTCTTTAGCTTAAACTGCTCGCATGAAACAGTCAGTGGGTCAAGCAGCATTTATTAAGCGCCCACAATTGTCACATGCTGTGCTTAGCAGTGGACACTTCACCTTCTGGGAAGCAAGGCTAAGAAGCTGCAGGGTACTACTGACACGTCTAAACCCTCCTTCCTCCCATTGGGCAGCTCCGCCGGGTCCCCTCCTCTTCTCCGCGCTCCTGGAGCAACCCGCAACCTCCCCACCACACCCCTTTTAAGTAAAGGAGTGTGGCCTGTTCCTTTTAGAGGAAGATACCAAGTGCTTTCTTGTTTATACCTTCTCCCTCGGTTCCCAGATGCTAAAAATCAGGCATAGTGGATCAGAGAGAAGAGAGTGGAGATATTTCTCCTTCGGGCAAAGGAATCCCCCACAGAAGGAAGCCGAGGAGGGGCTGCATGGGGGCTAGACTGACTTATGCCCACCCCCCCCGCTCAGAGATGGTCCAGTCCCAAGATGGCTGCCACCATGAAGAAGGCGGTGAGTGGGGCGCTCCGGGGGTTTGGGGCTTTGGGCCGGGGAGTCGGGACCACGAGTGGCCCAGGACCTGGGGACTACAGGGGGCTGAAGCCAGCGAAGGGTACGCGGAGGGTCTGGGCTCCTGGGGAGCGTCGGCCTGCTGGATGTGGCCCTCGGTCCGGGGGGCCCGCGCCCGGAGCCGCCTCGTTCCCCTCCCCCCCACTCTCCCGCGGGACCTGGGGGGCGTTAGGCATGAGGCCGGGGCTCATCCTCGGGCCTGTGCGAGGTTGCGCGTGTGGAAGTGCCTGCGGAGCATAATCAGGGACCGGGGAAGGGCCCTTTGGCTCCCCCTTTCCTCCTCATCCCTGGACTTCGGGGTCCTCTGAGGACTCAGCCTGGCCCGGGGGGAGGGGTACCCTCACTTGAAGGGGAGGGGAGGGGAGGGGAAGGGGGAGCCCAGGGCGCATGTACAGCGGCGGTACCTGCCTGTCACTCCTTGGCGCCTTGGGGATCTGGGGAATGGGGTGGGGTGGGGTGGGGACACATCCTTGGGGGACGTGGCAAGTTCTCTTTGGGGAGCTGGAAAGACGGGGTGGGGGCCTTGGGTCAAGTTATCCTGTCTACTCGTAGATTTTAGTGTCGAAGGGATCTTTAGAACATAGAATGTCAGAGCCAGAAGGACCATAGTGGTTATATGGTCCAGGAGTTCTTAACCCTTTTGTGTGTCTTGGCTGTGTGGTGGGACCAGCGGACCCCTTCTCAGATTAATGTTTCTAAGTAATAACGTTGATGGTAATAATAGTAAGTGGCATTTATGTAGCATCTTAAGGTTTGCAAAAGGCTTAACACATTATCTTATTTGATCATCACTACAAAACCTTATGAGAGTAGGTACTGTACTGTTGTTATTCTCATTTGAAAATGAGGAAACTGAAGTAGACACAGACTAGGTGACTTGATGGTCACACAGCTTGTGTCTGAGGCCTGATTTTGAACACTATGGGCAGTGCTTATGTAGGATTACAAAAGAAACTAATTTTGTCTATCTGTTCACTGGATCTTGTGATAAAGATAGTTCCACCTGCTCATTTTACAGATAAGAAAATGGAGACCCAGAGTGGGGAAGTGAATTGCCCAAGGTCACTGAGTAAATAGGAAAGCCAGTATCCATTTTGGCCACTGGTCTGTGAATTTAGTGTCAAGCACAAATTTAGGCCCCGATTGTCCTCACCTAGTGGGGGTCTATAAATTCCCAAAGGAAACCTGAGTATTTAAAAGGGGAAAAAATTATATATATATAGGACATTGAGAGAACTTTGAGGATATTGCCACCAACTTTAAAGCCTAATCTTAGTCTGTTAGGGATTACTTTCCCTTTTGGGGAGGTTGGGATTGTTACAGTTCATAGTAAAAGTGAGATTCATTCTAGTGAAATGTATAGGAAAGAATGATTTACTTGGATTTGATGGGCTGGGTTTGAATTCTGACTCTGACACCTAATCAGTCAATGAGCATGTAGTATGTGCAGGTGCTTATGATAAAATGACAAATATAAATTGTTCCCATATTTGAAGGGCTTACAGTCCATCTGAGAAGACTGAATGTACAGATCTATCAGTCAGCAAGCATTTATTAAGCACTTACTCAGTTCTGGCAGTTGGGAGGATCAGGAAGGATTACCTTTAGAAGGTGGTTTTGAGCTATTTCTTGAAGGAAGTGAGTTAGGTGGAAGAAGTAGTTCCACGTGTAGAACAGAGAGAAGGCTGTTTGGTTGGATGGCAATATGAAGAAGAGAGAGTAATGTCTAATTAGGTTGGAAAGATGGGATTTGGCTGAGTTGTGAAGGACTTTAAATACTAAACACGTAAGTTTATATTTTATTCTGAGGGCAAGAGGAAGCAGTCACTGGACTGCATTGAGTAGAGGACTGACATGGTCAGCTCTACACTTAAGGAAAATCAGTTTGGCCTTATGTTGGTGGATATGGAGTGAGAGGTTTGAGGCATGTATACCACTTAGGAAACCCAACTTTGTTGTATATACAAATTAGATTCAGTTTGGCAGGGCCAAGCAAAAGTCACTGGAGGAATCATACATCTAGAGCTGGAAAGGACTTCAGAGGCAATCTGGTTTAGCCCCCCTCCTTTTACAGATGAGAGAACTGAGTCCCTTAACCTCCCTAGGTTAAGTAACTTGTCCAAGATCACACATGTAAAGGCTTCATCTATGAGGTGACAGGAGTTGATTTAAGTAAACTCGGATGTGAGGAAGCAGTGCATTTCAAGTATGGTCAGATGACTTCTGCAAAGGCAGGGAGATAGGAAATTGAATGCAATGGATGAGAAATAGCCAGATGGTCAGTTAGAGTGTGTTAATTGAAGGAATGCATAATAAAGCTGGGAAGATTATCTATCTGAAGCCAGGTTGTGAAAGGCTTTAATTGACAGTGAGACGAAAGTGGAGGCATCTATTGTTGATCATCTTTTCAAGCAGTTAAGCCACAAAGGGCAGAAGAGATATAGGAAAATAGCACGGATATAGGATAGAAGAATCTAATAAGGGTTTTTTGGAGTTGGAGGAGACATGTCTGTAAGCAGTAGGGAAGGAGTCAGTAGACGGGGACAGAGTGAAGATAAGTGAAAGAGTAGGGATAGCATAGTGAGCAATCTGTTGGAGGAGACCAAATGGAATGATATCACTTTGTAAAGTGGAGGAGTTAGCCTTGGTAAGGAGTAAGGTCACCTCTTCATGTAATATAGGGGTGAAGAAGGAGATAGTAGCAGAAGACCTTTGAGTGATAGAAATAGAGAGGAAAGAGTTCACAGTGGATGGCCTCAATTTGTTCTGTAAAATATGAGGCAAAGTTCTCAGCTGAGAGGGTATAGGAAAGAAGGAACTTTGGGAGATTTGGGAAGGTATGAAAAGGTTTGGAAGATCCACTGTGGAGAGTGAGATAGTGAGTTTATAAGGTAGGTATAGTAGGATTGCCTAGCAATGGTGAGGTTGTATAACCTAAATTTGTAGTAGATATAATCAAAATGGTTGAGTGATTTTCTCCACCTCCTTTCAGCAGCATGTGTGTAGGATTGGAGGTGGTGCATAGTAGGAGAGTTCCAAGACTGAGGATTGGCAGAGGAGCTTGTGACTGAAGAGGACAGTGTAAAGCTGAAGTGTTTCCCCAAGGGGTTAAGATGAGGAAAATAGGGACCCTGAGTGGCAAATGCAGGGGACATAGTCTGGAGAGAACTGAAGGGTGGAGGGATTGGAAGTCATGGAGTGGACAAAGAGTAGGGTTTGGTAAGAGAAGGTAGAGGGATAATCGGAAAGCCAATAGGTTTTGGTCAAATAAGGGAATTTTGTAATTCTCAAACATGGACGCAGTACATTTGTGTGTGATGGCAGGATCGAGGCTGTGATCATCTTTGTGTATGCCTGAAATGGGATGAAAGTCATGGGAAGTGAGTAGTTTGAAAAATTTAATGGGAAATGTAAGGGTATTTGAAGGAGAATCAATATGTATATTGAAGTCACCTAGTATGAGGGCAGGAGATCCAGAGGAGGGAAAAATTATGAACCAGATATCAGACTCATTGAGAAAGGAAGGGGGAGTGACCTGTAGGTCTACAGATAGCAGCTACCAGGCTCTTGATTGGGTCGTAGATATAAATTGCATGACCTCAAAAGAGGAGAGGTTACTGAATAATAGAGGTGGGGGAGAACCAAGGAGAATAAGGGAAGGCACAGTCAGTATTGGAAAAGGTGGCCAGGAAGCTGCATCATCAGTGGGGAGCCAGGTTTCAGTGATAGCTAGAAGATGAAAGGAATGGGAGAGGAAAAAATTTAGGGTGAAGGGGGAGGTTTCTTGCCTGTGTAGTAAATAGCAGAAGAAGGATTTTAATCTATGCCCTCCAACTTCAAAGCCAAATACCCTTTCTGCCATACTTACTGCCTGTCATATTAGATTCGGGGGGAAGGTGTGAAGAAATCATAAAGGGGATGGGTATGATTGCCAGAATAGATAGCCGGCAGTGAAGATAGCAGGTCAAGGATAAAAGTAGAGTAGTTGACCTTGGTGAGGGTGAGCACCTCTTCATCAGAGACAGGAGTAAAGGATGTGAGAATGGGGAGATGAGGTTGAAGGGGTTTTGTAATATAAAATAGAGAATGAGAAGGCTCAGAGTGAGTAGCCTCTTTTCAGTCAAATATGTTCTCTGCCTAAGAGGGTGTGGAAAGGAAAAAGGTTTGGAATAGCTATCTTGAGAAACTATTTAGAATCAGCAAGGGAGGGGTGACAGGATCAATGACTTCGAGGTTGAGCAGATTATTTAACCCCTTGTCTCATTTTACTTCTAGGTGAAATGCTGATAATATCTATTTCACAGTATTGGGGACGGAGGGAGAGGGAAACAATTCTTATATTGAAGGTATTGACTTCATTGCCATGATATGCAACCTCACATCAGAGGTAGCATGGTATAGTGTGTAGAATTCTGCACTTGTAGTCAGGAAGACTTGGGTTCCATTTCTATTACTGATACAAGCTGTGTGACAGAAAGTACTTGGCTTGTCTTAGCTTCAGTTACCTCATCTGTAAAAATGGGATAATACTGTTAGAACCTACCTCGCAGGGGCTGAAATAAAGCAATGGATATTAAACACTTTGTAAACTTTAAAGCAGGGCAGCTAGGTGGCCCAATGGATAGAATGCTGGGCCTGAAGTCAGGGAGACCTCAGTTAAAATTCCACCTCAGGTTTATCTCAGTTTCCTCATCTGTAAAATGAACTGGATAAGGAAATGGCAAACCACTGCAGTTATCTTTGTCAAGAAGACCTCAGATGGTTTCATGAAGATTTGGACACAACTGAAAAATGACTGAATTGATAAACTTTAAAGCACTATGTAGTTGTCATTTTTATATATACCTCTCCCGATTCCATGCATTTTCATTGGTCATCTCTCATACCTGTAATGGAATGTTTTACCTCTTTCTCTATCCCTCCTAGCTTCACTGACTTTGTACAAGTCTCAACTGAAATCCCA